TTTTATCAAACTCTACCTGTCTGGCAAAGATATTACTAAATTTTTAGTGATTCAATTCTTTGTCTATTAATACATCATTTGACAACATGCTATCAAAGTAACAATTAGCAATAGTACCATAAGATTTTTTTTTTTTTTAAGATTATTTATTTGACAGAGAGAGAGACAGCGAGAGAGGGAACACAAGCAGGGGTAGTGGGAGAGGGAGAAGCAGGCTTCCCGCCGGGCAGGGAGCCCAATGCGGGGCTCGATCCCAGGACCCTGGGATCATGACCTGAGCCAAAGGCAGACGCTGAACGACTGATCCACCCAGGCGCCCCAGTACCATAAGATTTCTTGTGGAACTTTTAAAGTACTAGCTGAGTTCTTTGATTAGTTAAAAAAAACTATTACTTTTGTTGACTTTTAAGTTAAATCAAAACTATTTTCTGAGCAGCTTCAATGAAAGAACCATGAGTAAAACTCTTATAATGACATTTCAGAATCATGTTTGGCAACCATGCAGATTAGCACTGACACAATGTCCAAGAGCTACTAAAGATAGACCTTATGCAATTGGGCAAAATGAGTGGGTGGATAATTTTTTTTTTAAGTAGGGCCATGACCTCTGAGATCTTCTGTTGTTTTCACTATGATCTATAAACTGAACAAAGTGCTATTTTCTTTCTCATAGGAGTAGTCCTTTACTTGTATGGGACCAAGGCAGTGTATAGGAATGAAGGCATAACTCCTGTTTTTTCTTAACAGCAAATATGGACTACCTATGCCTCCTCTCCTATGTCCGATGTCCAACCAAGGTAAACAATTGCTATGGCAATTCAGAGTTCTAATTTTTGACAATTCTAATTTGCCACAATATTTTTTGATGATCTAGGACTCTGCTGCGGAATCCTTCTAATCACATTGCTCAGCAATAATTAAATTGCTACCAATCAACTGAAGCTGACAAGCAAGATGGAACTTAACTGCCATTGCTGGTCAAGACCTTCCTTTTCCACACTTGATTTAAGGCAGGCATCAAATGGAATTTTCCTTGAGATAAAAAAGTGAACTGAGAATATAAAGATAACCAGAACTATGTTCCTCCTTTAAGGAGCTCACAGTGGAGTATGGGGGACAGATATGTGGAATAAGTGAGGTTCCTTCACATTCACACTTTAATCTGATTCTACAATTTAAACAAGAAAGGGGAGGGGCACCCGGGTGGCTCAGTTGGTTGGGCATCTGCCTTCGGCTCGGGTCGTGATCCGGGGGTCCTGGGATCGAGCCCCGCATCAGGCTCCCTACTCTGTGGGGAGTCTGCTTCTCCCTCTGCCTGACGCTCTCCCCTGCTTGTGCTCGCTCTCTAATAAATAAATAAGATCTTTAAAAAAAAAATAAACAAGAAAGGGGAGATGGGAAAGAACACATGCTTAATCTATGTCATCCTATGCAAGTACATGGGAGTACAAAGCTTCTACCTCCTACCCAAACTGAGACCAGGGCAGATAAACATATTTCACTCAAAATGCAGGTATTTGACTCTGCTTTTTCAGCTGTAAATTTTATGAAGTCTAAATACAGATAAATATTTCCAATGGGGGGGGGGAAACGTATTTCATTCAGTCACCGTATTGAGAATGATCTCTTCAAAATGTCACAATTAACAGAAATTTAATGTTAACAATAAATACAAAAATTTAGCCAGTTAGGCATAAAGAGCCAAAATAACTGGTTTACTAGAGATCCTGTATGGACATGGAGCAAATCCGAGCATAGCACTGGGATGCAAGAAGTTACCATATAAAAAATTTAAGAAAATTCTTCCATGATCCTCAAAGTGAATCTCAAAAGTCCATCGTCCAGCAAAGGACTCCACAGTTAAAGAGGGATGTGGAGAAAGTGGAAGGGATTCAACAGAGAGTCACAGAGATGATTAAAGGGTTGGGAAAATGGGAGCTAGAAATTATTTAGCCTAAGTTAGAGAAGACTACCAGGTTTCTTAATAACAGTATTCAAGCATAGGAAGGGTTGTTATATACAAGATGATGAACAGTTGCTTTCTATCTCAACTGGAGAGTGGATAGAAGAAATAGACTTTGATTACAGCATGAAATATCTAAGTTAGACATAAGGAAGAACTTTAAGAATGAGGATTATTGGATAAGAGACCTCAGGATCCTCTTATTACACCTGTTCCTTAAATGATACTGTTTCACAGGGTCATTTTTAAATTCTTTCTCTTTTCAGTTTGTCCTTAATTTATTTCATTTACACTGATTTAAATTATCTATTATAACTGATAATCCCCAACCACATATATGTTTGGGGATATTTATATATAATATATATTATACTGTATAAATAGTACATGTACAGTATATAGTATTCTATGGTACACAGTATATACTATGGTATAGTATAGTGTGTATATAGTATGGGTTTTCTATATATAGTATATATACAGTATATAGTATATACAGTATACAGTATATATAGTATATAGTATATACAATATATAGCATATACAGTATATATAGTATATATACAGTATATAGTATAGTATAGTTTAGTATAGTATATATACGATATATATGTCCAATCCAGACTACTCTCCAAATGCCTCCTGGACATCAAGCTTCTAACCTTTTCCTGTTCTACTGCAATAGCATCATAACTGATAACTCTGTCTCTCAGTCTTCAATTCCATTCTCTGGTCTATATGATGGTCTGGACCTTTCTATCTACAAGCAAGTCCAATCATTTCCCTGCTTACAATTTTCTGATAGATCCCATCATTTACTTGCTTTCCATCATGTGGGCCCTTAACCTATCCAATATCATCCCTTGTCATTCCCCAAATGTTATTAATTCCAAGATAATTTCACTCCTTTCATCCCACTGTGCTTTTACAGATCTGTGAGTCTTAGTACTCTTCACTCCTCCTAGAACACACCTTCCCCCTTCTTTCTGTGTTCAACTTCTACTCTTCAGTTCCAGAAATTTTTCATTGACCTTACCACAGTGGATTCGTGACCCTCAATAAATGCTGATGAATTTCCATGAAAACTTGCCTTGAATACTTTAATGTCATAGTTTGTATTAGTAAGAGCCTTTCCAGACTCCAGATTCAGTCATTGCTCATTTAGAAAACATCTAGGTAGCTTGCTGACAGAATCTAGAGATCAACCTTCAGAAGTGGTATATACCAGACTCTTGTGTTCATCACACTTGACTCCAGCTGCTGCTTATCTGACAGTGCTTGCATCATTTCCTCAGACATTTCCATATCACTTTGCCACTACTGGACCCAGTGCCCTTTCTTCCATCTCTTGGCCTGGCACAATTATGGATACATACTTAGGCACTTTATGTGCATCCTCTCCAACTCATTTCTTACAACACTCCTGTGAGGCAGGATTAGTGTGCCCATTTTACAGGTGAAAAAGTCACCACCTATCCACAGATGACATATATGCATGTGCATGTGTATATACACATATATTTGTGAGACATATAACCTATGAGCTGTAGCCTACTTAACGTGCTCACAAATATCTCAAAAGAAACTCAAAATGAAATTTCCAAACATGAATTCATAACTTTACCCCCAAACTTTGCTCTTGATGTTACCTGTTTTAGTGACTGCTGTCGGACACTTAAGAGTCCACACTTCGCTCTTTTTTAATCCCCATATCCAATCCCTCACCAACTTATATAAACTTTCCCTCCCAGATTATCTCTTAAATTTGTGCAGTTCTCTCCACCTCTACCATTATTAATCTAGTCCAAGTTTTCATCATCTCTTATAAACTTCTATTTCCTTTGGTCCTCATCTTATCTGTTATCTGCAGCCAAGATGATCTGAAAATCCAAATCTGTTCATGGTACTTCATGCTGTCCCTTCTTCCTACTGAATTCAAAAGTCCTTTAGCAGGTTCCCATTGCTCTTATCAAAAAGACAAACTTAAAACTGCTATTCAATGGATCACATCCACTTCTTCTCAAACCCACCTTTTCTCACATCCTGCTCCCTCCCCCTCAACTGCTCTGGCCACTGGTGCTTGCTTCCTATCATTCAAACCTGAGATGATCCATTCTTCTGCAGGCCTCTGCACAGGCTGGAAAGCCATCTCTCTTCTCGTCACCAAGTTAACTCTTCATCATCTTTCAGATGCCACTTTCCCAGAGAATTTTCAGGTTTGAAAATCACCCTCAAAAACCAAATCTTATCTTCCTATTATAAGTCCAAAACCACGTTTTTCTCTTTCTTCTCTCTCTCTTTACATTTGTTTTTGTGATTATTTGATTGTCACCCTCCTCCATGAGATTGTAAGCATCATGAGAGCAAGAACTGTCTATTCTTGCTATTTTATCTCTAGTGCTTATCTCTACTACCCGCATGTAGTATTTGAAGAATTGAATAAATTAATTTGTTGGCTTATGTTTGCCAGGCACTGAGCTAAATGCTTTACATATATAATTTCATTGAATTTTCACAACAGACTTAGAAGGTTACTACCTTTCTATTATTAGCTCCATTTTAGAAATGAGAAAACCAGGGTCTAGAGATACTCGGTAATTTTCCCAAGTCTGGAAAAATGAAAACTGAAGTCCTCTACAATAAAACCATAAGCCCATCACTTGTGGATAGCTTTGCACACGTGTGTATTAACTAATGTGACATTGAGCACATGAGCAGGAAGAAGTCTCTGAATCACGAATTGACCATTTGTGTCTCTTGAGCAAACCTGAAAATCCTGAAATATTTAAGAGTCAACAACAGAATCCCACGGTTGTTAGGTCAGGTTACTTAAACAGAAGAAAAAAAGTAGGCTGGACCTGAATTGTACTTGTTCAGTGAGCCTAATGGTTCCACTGACCAGTGAGGCATAATACCTTTGCACAGTACAACACCGACTGTGACTGGCCTGGGGGAATAGATCTCAGAGCAGTCAAAAAACTTATCAAGCCAAAATGAATGAATTGATTCTCATTTCACCAAAAAGAAAACAACTTACCTCACTCATGTCGACTGTTCTTGTTCATGCAGAAGCCTCTGCTGAGCCCTTGTAAGTAGCTCAACGACTTTGAGCAGTTTATCCAAAGGTGCTTATGAATTTTTTTCCTTCTCCACCCACACTGTCTGGTCCACTCCTTTTGAAAACAGAGGCATGATGGCACAGCCACTCTTTATGGTTCTTGTCGCAGGAGTAATATCCCAAAGGTTGAGGCAAATTTTATGTTGGTTGATCACGAATATACTTGGAAGAGCTTCATCTTCATTTCTGGACGTTGCATTAAGGATTTTTAAATTATCATTATCATCTTTTACGAAATTATTTTCATCATGACTACTGAATTCTCAATAGACCTGAGAGGCTGTTGGGTATGTAATCTTTAGGTTATGATCGAGAAAGTCTTTAGAAGTCCCACTAGCTTTTCAGGCAGGACTTCGAGAAGTAGAAACAATTCGTTGATCTCAATAATATTGTCTCAGATCTGCAACTCAGGCTGGAGCATCCCAAAACTGGGCTTGTTCACTATATTTAAAATATATTAGATTTTGGACACTATCTCAAACCAATTCAGAAGAGTTTGGCAATTCATTATTTTTTAGTAGAACATTTACCTGGCAGGGTAACCTACCTTGTTTATGTTTACTAAGAGAACTTCTTCCTAGTGGGTGAATCTACATAGGAAGCCAAATTAAAGATCAAATGGTTGAACGAGCATATAATTAGGAATTAGATGTTATTAAGAAGTGTCTGATTTACTCATTTCCCTGCTTAAAAAGTCCTTCAGTCTTTCCATCACTTTCAGGATAAAAACCAAACTCTTTATTGATGTTTCCCCATTCTTTCTTTACAAATCTCACCTCGAGCAGTCCGAGAGTCTAAACACACTGAACTTAAAATGGCCTTTTTTTTTTTTTTTAAGATTTTCTTTATTTGACAGAGACACAGTGAGAGAGGGAACACAAGCAGGGGGAGTAGGAAAGGGAGGAGCAGGCTTCCTGCTGAGCAGGGAGCCCCACCTGGGGCTCGATCCCAGGACCCTGGGACCATGACCTGAGCGGAAGGCAGACGCCCAACAACTGAGCCACCCAGGCACCCCAAAATGGCCTTACTTTTAGGATAAATATCCTTTTATTTTGGCCAAATTCCTATTTTCATCTATGTTCCCTAGCAATTCAACTTTTAAAACCAGCAATAGTCATTTTATCCTCCATGTTTCCACAGCAATTTTACATATCTCTATCAACACTTAACCATTATAATTATTAATTTACATATTCCTCTCCCTCACTGAAAGGTGAGTTTCTTGGGGGTTGGGACAATCTTACCTATCTACTAAATCCTGAGGTTCAGTACAGAGCAGAAACTCAAAAAACGTCTTTAAAGTGCTTGTTGGCTATGTCCACTAAACTAGATAGTAAATTGGCTATCTCCATTCCTCAGTAATTTCAGAATATTCTGTTTTATAAAATAAACATTCCTCTTTACATTCTATTAGACCAGTGGTTCTCTCAGGGTTTTGAATTTTGTGAGTTAGTAAAAATAACTTCTTACAAACATTTTAGGCAACAATGAAGAAAAGAACATTAAAAATAAAGCTAGAGTCTATTAACATCATAATTTCAAAATATATCTTAAGTCTAAACCATGAGAAAGGATATAATTTAAAATAATAATCTTTTAAATTGAACAAATTTAACTTTATGAAAATTTTTCTAGTTTTTTTTTTTCATTTCACTATCAACTGGTGAAAAATAGATCAGTGTCCTCCCCAAAATAATTCTGAAATACTATGTACCCTTTTATACATTTTTAAGGTAGCATCTGAGATATTTTCATTGTAAGTTCAAATTGTTGTGATGAATGTCATTTCTGGCATGTTATAAATATTGACAATACAAAATAAAATATCTTAGAAAATCCATCCAATGGAATCTATATACCATAATTATTTAATACCCACCATTATTCATTTAAAAATATATGAACAAACAGTTGAAATATTTATATTATTCCTTTTTACTTCCATTCCACTTCCAGAGCTTTATAATATGACATTTATACTCAGAAGTCCATTATCAACTGAAATTTAATTTCAAAAATTTCTGGACCTTATATGTCCTAAAAATATCCTGAAATGAGCTACCATTATAATTACTAGTGCACATTTGGTCAAAGCAACATAAATATATTGATATTAAGCATGATATAAACATTTATTGAAAATACATTTCTTAATTAGCTAAGTTTCTTCAACTAATTAATGTGGTCAGAATTTGTTTGCTAGGCTGAGAAAGGGTTCATCATACATTTTATTCCTTTTTTTCTTCTTTTGAAGACGTGCTGAGACTATTTGTTCATGAAAAATTATGAATGATGGGAATAGGAGTTTGTTTTAGCTACGTCACAAAATTCTTTAAACTCCTTCCAAGTTATGTGCAAAAAACCCTTAGTGATCTATTGTTGAAAATTATTTTTAATGATTAACTGACACTTTGGTTAAGTCCTTCTTCAGTTTCATTGAAAGGAAAAGCTGAAAACCATCTGCAAAAGTATAGCTACCAAGTAATTAGGGACATTTTACTTCTGTCTCTGGTGCCCCTTTTCCATCCTGGGGCAATGTTAACACAGTTAAGATTAGGAGTGGGTGAAAGGTGTGCCTCTTTTTGGTGATGGGGAAAAAAGTAAGACTGGGCAAGGGGAGGCGGGTTCTTTAGCAGCTCAGTTTTGGAAAGACAGGGCATATGGAAGTTGAAAACCTAACCACTAATTCTCTTAAAAACTATCTATGTGCTGCTCACATGTCTCTTAGAAATTCCTGGTATACCTCCAGAGCTGAGTATACCCCAGTTTGAAGAGCACTGGGCTACACCTGAAAGTATACAAATTCCATTAGCTTTAGTTTCAAAGTGTGATATTTTCTTTTTTAAGATTTTATTTATTTATTTGAGAGAGCACAAGCAGGGGGAGGGGCAGAGGGAGAGGGAGAAGCAGACTCCCCACTGAGCAGGGAGCCTGACGCTGGGGCTTGATCCCAGAACTCTGAGATCATGACCTGAGCAGAAGGCAGCCGCTTAACCGACTGAGCCACCCAGGCGCCCCCAAAGTGTGGTATTTTCTGACTTTAACATTACCTCCAGATTCTGGGGGCAGTTAACTTATTCGGAATTTAAGCCCCCTATGAAATTATTGCATGAAATTGTGTAGAAAGCCTGGGTGGCTCAGTCCTTGAGCTGCTGCCTTGGCTCAGACCCTGGGATCGAGCCCTGCATCGGGCTCCCTGCTCCGTGGGAAGCCTGCTTCTCCCTCTCCCACCGCCCTGCTTGTGTTCCCTCTCTCTCTGTGTCTCTCTCTGTCAAATAAATAAAATAAATTCTTAAAAAAAAAAAAAAGAAGGCCCTGCTTTAGGACATTTCTTCATAGCACTGTACCTTTATGGCCCTGACATCTTTCTCCCTTCCCTGTTTTCTCACATGGTCCTTCTGAAGGTAACTGGTTTGCATTTGTAAACTTAGGAAAGAGGATTAGCATGAAATTTGTGGCTACTGATCAGAGCCTAGTTAATCAACCTATCAGGAAAATCAATTTGTGAACTAAACAGTATCTGTAAACTAAATATTTGAGATGCATCTCCTATAAAAATTGATAATGTATATGTGGTTTTAGTAACTGAGTCTTTTTTTTTTTTTAAGATTATTTATTTATTTGACAGAGAGATAGAGCGAGAGCACAAGTAGGCAGAGAGGCAGGCAGAGGGAGAGGGAGAAGCAGGCTCCCTGCTGAGCAGGGAGCCAGATATGGGGCTCGATCCCACCTGGGATCATGACCTGAGCCAAAGGCAGGCGCTTAACCCACTGAGCCACTCAGGCATTCCAGTAACTGAGTTTTCAATAAAAATAAATATTAAACCTCTACCCCTACTTCATCGTTCTCATTCTTTACAGCCAATATAAAAAATTCATATTGTAAAAATAATCTATTTTTGTACAACTCACATATACGAAGAAGTCATTTTATTTTTTACTTCATCTTTCTCAGAGAATAGTGAGCTAACTCCTATTTGTGAGTAATTAAAACGCAGAGAAACCGCAACCACAAAATGGTTAGCTATCATTAAATTCTGAATTTTCAAGTATTTTTTAAATGCTACTCACCTAATTTTTAATTTTTTTTTAATTTTAAGTAGGCTCCACACTCAACATGGGGCTTGAACTCACAACCCTGATATCAAGAGTCACATACTCTACTGACTAAGCCAGTCAAAGCAACCCTGAATTTTCAAATATTTTTAATTAAAACCATAACTTCACAGGGACGCCTGGGTGGCTCAATTGGTCAAGCGTCTGCCTTCAGCTCAGGTCATGATCCCAGGAGCCTGGGATGGAGTCCCGCATTGGGAATCCTTGCTCAGCAGGGAGCCTGCTTCTCCCTCTGCCTGCCGGAGGCTCCTCCTGTTTGTGCCCTCTGACAAATAAATAAATAAAATCTTTAAAAATAAATAAATAAAACCATAACTTCACAGTTAAGAAACATTTCATTTGTGTGTATTTTTAATGACCTAGTATAGAAGTTGTAATTGGAATTATTTTTATTCACTAGCTTTAGTTCTTAAAAACTTCAAAACAATCTTCCTACAACTGTACACTTTATAGAAATGCCTTACATTGTATAACATGCAAATATTATCAATAGTTAACACCTGTGGTATTTCTGCTCTACTAGTTTATTCTGCTCTGATCAATTTATTCTGATCTACGTTTTAGTCTTTTGTTGACGTCCAAGATTGTGTATACCTAGTGTTTGCAAATTTGTGCATTCATATATTGATTCATTTGACCAATCCTTACTGATTGTCTGTGATGTCACAGTCACTGTTTCTAGATGATGGAAATACAATATTGAGCAAAGCCAGAAATACTCCTTGCCCTCATGGAGTTTTGGTTTATTGAGGGAGCATGCAATAATCAAATAATTACACATGTTTAAAAACTGCAATTATGACAAGTACTGTGAAGGAGAACAAAAATGCTAGGAAAATCTGCAACAGGATATTTGAATATTGGTGGGTGTGGGTGGTTAGGAAAAGCTGCCCTGAGGAAGTGATCTAAGGATGACTGTGAATTAATTAGGAGAAAGGAGGGAAAAACATTTCTGACTGGAAACTGCCTGCACAAAGGCCAGGCAGGTAGGTATCAAAGAAAACATGAAGGAAAGAAAAAGGCTAGCTTCAGGACGAGTGTCAGCAGCAGGGGGAAACCAGGCATGAGATGGAGCTAGAGTATGAAAGTCAGCCAGACCTTCCTGGACTCTACAGGCCAGTGTTTAGAAAGTGTTTTGATATGTAGACCAACAGAAAATAATTGAGACCTTTGTAGGGTTTTAAGCATGAGTGTGGGTGGGGTGATAGGATCAGATCTGCATTCTGAAAAGATTACTGGCTTCCCTGTAGGAATGGATTAGAGGGCAGGGCGAGAATGTATGGTGTACTGAGATAGATGCTTCTCTGAACATTTGCATGTAAACTTGAGACTTTGAAACTTCAGGTTTTAAAGAGATTGGGATTTTCTAAGAAAAGAAACACTGGTTTTTGTCTTTTAAATCTTTTATGTTTATTTTTTAGGGGCAAGGCAAAATGGGTTCACAGTGTGTGGAGAAAAAGAATGAGTAGTACTCCTTCCCAGAAGTCCTGGGAAAAAGCACGTCATTGATTATCAAAGTTAACTTTTTCTCCCCAAATGAAAATAGTTTTATTGATTTTTTGGGATTATATACCCAATATAAATTATATTCTCAATACACAGCAGTACAGAAAATGTGTCAAGAAATTTTTTTCAAAACTGAAATTCAACTACTGAGAGAATTATCGTCCCCATTCTGTGACTATCCTTTTAAACTACTTTCCATGCTAGTATTCACATATGA